AGGCCACCATGCATCGGTCCGACTGTACCATCCTCATCCTCCGAACACGTCCAACCAAAACTGCAATCATGTGAGTTCAGCATCCATCTGTGAAGGCATAGTTGAACATTCCGTAGTTCCCGTCGCTGGTGCTCACGGAGCTTTGGGTTACCTGGCTCGATCGACGAGACGACTCCTGCACCGGAGTGGATTGACGACTATAAATTGCACCTGTACGCAGAATGATTCTCTCTATTTGCAAACGTGGGGATCCCGAAATCAACAGCTCTACCACTGACAAGTGTCCGAAACCATTCACTTATAAACCCGTGACCTACCTAACCATATGTGGACCCTACCTGCAAACATCTTCAAGTAGTGGCATCATTTCCGGCAAGCATGTGACGTTCAATCCTTAAAGAGATATTATACCAGCGTTGACCCCAAACAATTTGCTTGGTCCAAGTCTAAACTCATTTTGTGAGTTGGTATTGGCAATGTAGGCGTCAGGCACCAAATCATTGTGATTTTGTGAACAACACAAGCAATTTACTAGCACCTTTTCTTGAACAAAATGCCTCACATGTCCGGTGTTCACACCGACTGTACGCGACAGACTCCCCCTTCCATCTATGATGGAACCTCGTGGGTTTGGAGTCTTCTTCAGAAAAAAGGAAGTGTCATGGCTCAGACATTCTACACACTTTTCTGACACTTCTGCTTGTAGTATTCCGCCCTTAGGCGGTCCATCGACCAGCCCTTGCCGGCCTGGTCCTTCTGGAAGAGCTGAACTCATGGTGGCCACGCCTTTCGGACCACATGGCTTCCATCTTGTCAGCTGCCCGCTCGACGGCATTTGCGGCATTCAGTGCGCTCTCCGCCGCCTTCTCAGCCCCATCTGCAGCGTTGTTAGCTGCTGCCGTGAGCTCCCCACCATCAGCAGAACTTGTAGCCCTCGAAGAGGTCCTCCGCTGTGGCGTCAAAGATCTACTTGTAGAGCCCGATCCCGGCCGGGTATGTCGCGACAAAGGCCTCTGCCTGGATGTGGTGGCGTCGGCCGTTTGGGCCGCTTCAGGGTTGAGCTCCCCCGTAGTCGTGCCCTGCGTCTCCTCAAGGATGTAGATTGGAGATCATCCCCAGGGCCCTGCAGCTCATTGGTCGTTAACTGGAATCGACGGAGGCAGCATCCAGGCTGTTCTCCCAACCCAGATTGCCCCAATCACGACCAAAACAAGGCCACAGAGCCATAGGTTTCCCACCTCCGAATCCCTTTCAGGATCCCCTTCACCTTCCGCTGCACGGATCAACATGCCACCGGCCACCAGTGTCTTCAATGCCACCTGTTGGCCTTGTGCAGGAGGACCATAACTGTTTGCTTTCATCTTCTTCACCTTGGCTTCAGGCTCTTTCAGGCCCAGGTCACTCAGGAACCCTCATGCCATCAGCGACCAACTCGGTGCCTCTCAAATTGGCTCAACTGCCAAAAACCTCCAGGGTACTGGCAATTGCTGTCCAAGGCCTCTTTGAGGATGCTGGAGCGGACTCTCAAATGTCTTGTTCTCCAGGACGTACTGCTGTTGCCATAGGCCAAACTAATGGCTGCAGCGTTGTCCCCATACATGACTCGCTCAAATGAGTTCAAGCCCGACAGCTCCTCCCCCACATGACACATAGCAAGGCCTCCGTGGCCCGACCCACTGTCAAAGCTTCGCAGTATGACACTAGTTCTGCTTCTGCGGCGCCGTGGGTCACAAAAGGTTGTGAAGAGCTCTGCCAGGACATAGGCACCCCAGCGAAGTAGACCGCCAGTCCCTGCACACTTCGATGGCCTGAGCCCGCGCCGTAAGCGATGTCGGCAAAGACCTCTATCAACTTTTCATGTTTTGGGATCTTCAGCTGTCCACGGGCACCCCACATGCCCGGTATAGTGAAGGTCACCAGGATTTCCTTTGATGTAGGAAAGAAGCACATGTGCGATCTGGATGGCCTTCTTTGGATTCTTTGTCACCAAGCGGCTAACAGCAGCAACACCAAAAGCCAGGTCAGGACGCGACCTCGTTGAAAGCCACAATAAGGATCCTGCCAAACCTTGCGCTTCACGGATGCGCTTCTTGCCCACCTCCCCTTGCTCTTCCAGAAGTGGGGATACGTCGTGGCCTCTGTCACCTTCCATCGGGTCAGGATCTCCTGCTCATACTTCTGCTGGCCAAGGTGGAACCCATCTCGAATCCGCAGAAGTGCACTGGGTCGTTTGAAGAGGCCCATTCCACGCTTGAGGTGGTCCAGGTGGCTTGTAGTGAAATGAGTGCTGCCGATAACATGTCCTCCTCTCCGGTCAGCAGAATGTCATCTACATAGACCGACATCACGCAGGCCTGTCCAAAGGCGTTCGCCCGTCTCCACGTCCACCTCCTCCATGCGCCAGAGGTCCCCCTCACGCGCACCCAGAGCTCACCGTCGGCAATGTCAGGTTGCGATACTGCGACCAGTCACGTGGGGATGTGGTCAGGCCATACATCGCAAGCCGAACCAGCCACACATCTCCTTCACGAGCAAGGCCAAGCCTTCTATACACAGCAGGGATCTCCATGCCCACAAGTTTTCCATCCTCCCGTTGAGGAGGGCCACGCGAATGTCTGTTGCTGCTATGGTCCATGACTTCAGGGCCGCTGTTCTGACCAAGGCTCTCACCTGGCACCCATCTGCGCCTCCAGCATAGCAGTCAGCGCTGAACCTTGACTCTGAGTAGTTCCCACAGCAAACCGCTCTGGCCCTTCGGACCCCTGCACCAGCCCAGCTCGATGACCTTGCCTCTTTTTTCCGCCCAAGTGCGCAGCTCCTTCTTGGTGATCTGCTCAACTGCTTCCTTGGTACGGACCAACTGGTTATATATACTCCGCCTCAATTGATGGAATCCAGTTCTCAAAATCTTCCCAGACCTCTTTGCTGCTGACTGTTTTCGTCACCAAAAACTCTTCCTCCAGCTCTTGACTCTGAATCACCTCATCAGTCTGCTTGTTCTGGAGGAGCATCTCTTCGACCTCAATTCATGATGGCCTGGGTGAGCACATCCATGTAGCAACCTTGGTCCGGTTTTGCCACATCCACATGGGCCATCTCCTCTGAGACATACTTCGCCAGGTTGGCCTGCAGCGAGCGGAGACATTGGATCTTTCGTGGAGGCAATCTCTCAGGAATTGTACGAATTGGGGCCACCACGCTTGAGCCACCGGCGCCCCCGCCACACCCCCTCCTCCACGCTGATCCACCTCCGAGCGCCCAAGATGTTCCTCCTGAGAGTCACCTCCACTCGAAGATGTCCTCCAAACTCCAGCTGGCGCTGCTCACTTCCAGGGTGCAAAGGGTATGGTCAGTGGGACCCAAAACATCGAGCCGTTCATGATGTGCTCCAAGCCATGTTTGAACCCAGCGGCAATTCTCCCCCTCCATGTGGAACATGGACAACTGTGGAGGAGCGGTCTTTTCACGAAGCCGACGACGCGGAATCCCCTCCTCCCACACCGGACAAGGAGCAGCATCGGCCACAGGAAGATGCACCATCGCCTCTTCCGCCTCGGGCTGATCTTCAGTGGGGACGACCACATCGTCCGTGTAGAAGTACTTCTTGGTGTCCAGAGACTGGACATAGTAGCTGGTTGTGGTCATGGATGACTGTATGGCCGGACCCAACACGATCACTTCGTCACGAATTTCCCTCCAGGATTGGCATCTGTCTTGCCAAGATTGTTTCAGGGCATAGAGTGGGTGGCAAATGGCCCACAGCAGACTGGAGACGGTGGGGCGCAAGTGGAAGACAAATGGGAGACAAGTGTAAAGTCATGCGGCCAAAGCACCCACAAGCGAGTGGAGACAGTTGGAGACAAGTGGGAGCCAAATGTAAAATCATGCGGCCAGCTCACCCACAAGGGACTGGAGACAGTGGGAGACAAGTGGGAGACAAATGGGAGACAAGTGTAAAATCATGCGGCCGCAGCAACCACAGTGTGGCAGGAACGCAAGCCCGGAGACAAATGTAAAATCACGCGGCCCCTCACAGGTAAACCTGTTTGGGGATGGGGAATAATATAAAACTCCTACACCCCCTCTATGTGGCTTCACCCTGGACCCTTGACAAATCTGTCCAATAAATGCAGCGCATGTCCCTCTCTCCCTGCCGCACCTGACCATCACAAGACCTCAGCAGAAACGCAACCAGAAACCCCATACCGCCTGCACTCAACCTTGTGAGTCTTGTATCTTACCAGTACGCAGAAGAAAACGCCTGTTGTTCAGAATGCTTTAGAAAGCAAGGGGGGATGATCAAGTTGCGGATCAATGGACAAGCCTCTGGCGGAAGAAATTCTTTGCCTCTTGTCTTCGTTGCAGCCTCTACTCAATGTGAATCAGCTGCAACTCATGTGCCAAGCTGCGACGAGGCTGAAGACGCCACCTGAGTGGGTCAAAGCAGGCTACACAGCCCTGCTTGGATTGAACCCCAAACTCCTTGGCATAAACTGCTTCAATGCAAAACATGTTTGCAGCTTGGCAAGGCCATACCTTCACCATACAATAGAGGGGTCGCTTGCGTTGCCGGCCCGCACCAACATGTTTTAGAAGTGAAAGTGATGGACAATGAACTATACCCAGCTTGCAAAACAAGATTGATGACGAGAAGATTCAGGCAAGGTTGATTGTGAGCCACTGCAAAACGGCAGTCCCACTGCTGCGCCTTGAAAGTAGAAGACTATCTATGCTCTCTACGCAGGTACTGTAACTCGTGGACTTCAGATCTGATAATCGGAGTCTCCGACCAATGGCCTCGCAGAACTTGTAGATCCGCGAGTAGTTGGCACTAGAGCGGAAGAAAATGTCCTTGGACATCAGATTTGGACACACAAAGGCAATGGCGAAAAGGTCTAAACCCGAACAGAGTCCTCCTGACAAGTCGCGTCTGCTGGTCTGGCAGTCTGGATATTTCGGTTCTTTGGGAAAATGAGCAACCACAAACTAGGCATGTTCCCACGGATCATCAAATCAGCCAATTCTGCCCAATTGGTGCGCGCCGGCCGCGCCCCAATCATGTGCGATGTCAACTTCACCGATGAGGGGACCCTACAGCGCGAAAGGCGAAAACATCTGCATGTGGGGACCGATGAGTGACCGCCCAAGCGTCGTAGTTGCTGCCTTCTGCGAAGTACCAACTCGACACCTCGGAACGTCCGCCCACGGCTGGGAACACTCAAAGAAGAAAAGCCCTCACAACTCCACCGTGGTAGAAATCTGTGGATATGTGGGGCAAAGTTAAAGTTGGTTTGCTTTGCTGCGAATGTTCATGAATTCATGAACCAAGAAAACTGGTATCAATGGCTTTGGAGGCCTTATGGCCTCTACTCCACCTCCCAAAGAACTACCTCGATGCCCATGGCCCCATGTCAAGATCATCCCATGGCCCCATGGAGAATGATCAGTGGCGTTTGATCAGTGGCATGAGGTTCGGTGGAGGAGCTCTAGAACCTGCCGTGAAACCATGTGAAACCAGCCCACATTGCCCAGGAACCCCACATTGGCCCACACACCTCTCACTGACCTGACAGTGACATGGCTGGGCACCCGAACACCAGAGTCCACCTGAGATCGGGCTCTCAGGGACACACGTGACAAACGCGGCAGCTGGGATGATCTATACAAATTACAATAAATTATATAATCGACCGATGAACGAATATAAATACCAACATCTTGTTTGATTTTGTACTTTCGCTGCAATGTGTAGTTTACACTTATGTGTAAAAGACCTTCATGTGTTACATCTCAGGTTTCTTGGCATTGGACTTTTCTCCACAACAGCTCAACAGCCAGCTGAGCCCCACGGCTACCGCGTCCGTGCCCAGGGCAAAGGTGGCCAAATCCATTCCTTGGATCCCCAAAACGCACTCGCACCGTGTCCGGAGAATCGTCTAGCAAAAAAGATCATAGAAAAACATGAAAAATGGGTAGGATGTACCAAGGCACTGGAGACTTGTGAGCTTGAAGAGGGACTGGGCACCAAATAACCATAACTGCTGCCTGCGATTCCTGTTCATGGCCGAAGTTAGTCGTGGCTAGGCCAAGCAAGGCCTTGATGCCTCTGAAACCTACTCCATCAAATTGAATCAAGGAAGCCTCGCACAAATCTCGTTGTTGCAGCAACACTTGACACAAACCACCTGGAGTAGATTACCTATTCCTGCGAGAACTGCAAAGTAAAAGTAGGGTCTTTTGCTTCTGACACTTTAGAGACGACCGACGGATTGGAGTCCCTCCACGCTTCGCTGGCCACTCCCCCAATCGGTCCTGTCATATAATATGACATTGCCACTGTCAGGCTGACCACATCCGCAGAGAGCCTCACATGGCAAAAGCCCGAAAAAACTAGCAAAAGCAGCTGAATCTCGAATTGTCCAAAATACTGAAGCTTTTGATGCTACTCAGCCCAAGTGCCACATGTGGCTGGTTCGTCAGGCCGAGCAGCATCGTGGACAGGGTGAAGCGACCCACTTTGTAGTTCACACCTGCTCAATCAGGGCGCATCGTGCTGCTACAGGATTAGGAAATCAGCAAAGCGAGGAAAAACATCGTGGACTACTCTACGTGAGCGAGTCGGAAATGCTGCTGTCGTGCCCACTATATATTGGAGCTTCACTTTTGCTCAACTGTTGCTGTTGCGGAAAATGTTTGTCAGCCCCAAGAAAGCCTGGGTAGAGGTATCCGTAGGTGCCGTCTGTGAATATGCCAGTGAATCCCCTCAGCTCAGTGTCTGCTAAGCCTGGGGCAGACGGACAGGACTTCATCCAGGAAGCCAGTGGCAATCTCTCGTTTGCTCACTGTTCATACTTGCTCATTGCCACCAATTCCAAAACCTTTCGCGCTAAGCAGTGAAATCTTTCTTGCGTACAATTGAAAACAAGGCCAAATTGCAGTAACAACTAAAATAGCTTTAGCCGTTGGTCCGACAAATCAATCCGCCGGCCCTTGGGCGCGGGGTGCTTTAGGTGATTGGTTTGTATGCTATCCTAGTAATAGTTTTTTTTAGTCTAATTGTACCCACGGCACGGATTTTTGACAAGTCTAACTTCCCCCCTTCCCCCCCCTCCCCCCCCCTCCCCCTGTGTTTGGTAGGGTCCTAGGTTCCCCTAGGCATGTCTACGCTATACGTGTGTAGCACCTATTCTCTTGTATAGATTAGTCTGTAGCTCTTCAGTCCGCTTTCGACCTAATTCATTTGGCTCAAGACTTAGTAGCCCAATACCTGCATCCGCAGCCATAGAAAGGGTGTGCATCGCTGCCGCTCGCACACCGATCGCATTCGTGTGACTCACTTGGTGTTTCGATCAGGTCCAGTTAATCAACTGCCACTTCTGGGGGAACTTACCCCTCAAAGTGGTAGCGGAGCTTGTGTCTCCTGCTTCGCAACGGTCGATTTTGCATTCGCGCCGAATCGTCCGATATTCCGGACAGGGGACAACCAAGTAAGTCACTTGTCAGAAAACAAATAGACCATGGTCCAGATCTTTAACATAGATACGGACGAAGAGCATGACGACAGCCTGTCGGAAGCAACTCATCCAGAAGAAGCTTTCGCCGCTCAAGGCACGCGTCATCGCCATCAGCAAGGAAGGTCCTCTAGTTCGACATACCGGACGTACGAGGCACAACCATCAGCAGGTGTCAAGACGACGCCAAAAATTCCTCCGTCATTCGATGGACAGTCATCTTGGTTCGAGTTTGAAGATTTGATTGATGACTGGGTGAACATCACCACATTAAGCGCCGAAAAATTAGGCCCATCATTGAAGAACGCTCTGACCGGAAACGCCGAATACTACAAAAAGATGCTCGACAATGAACAGCTTCGTCATGAAAGAAACGGTATTACGTATTTCAAGGAGACGTTGCGCCCATACTTTGTCAAAGGAGCAAATCATGTTTTTCTTTGGCGTTTCATGCAGCTCTTCAGGACCTGGCGCGGAAACGGGGAATTTGTCAGCTGGATCGCTCGTTTTGAAGTCGCTAGTAAGAAAGTCATGGAAGCCTTCATGGGCTTGTTAGATCTTTCGACTGTTCCACAGCCTGATGATTTCAACTTTACTGATATCCTCTCGCAACAGCAGTACATGCTACTTCAACAAATTCAAGATCCAACAGAAAGAAGAGAAAATGCAGAAAGAATCCGTTCTGAACACATTGATACCTTGAAACAAGCACATCGTGACACCTTTCCATTGTCTGACAACCTGATGTCACTTATTTTCTTAGTTCAGTCGGATCTCAACGAACAGCAAAGAGAAAGGTTTGTAGCCAGCATGGCCTTGCGTCAGATCAACATGAACAATTACACGTACTTAGGTGTCAAAGGCTTATTCCTTGATCTCTTTTGCGGAACCGCCACAGGAACTGCCGATCCCTCGATCCGCAGGCAAAGAAGATCCACTTTCCTTGTCCTCGATGAAGGAGACTTGGAAGAAGAATCCGGATACTGGGTGATGGATCAAGAAACAGGCGAAGAAGGATTTGTGAGTTTGTTCTCAGAATCCGAATTTTGGGTGTTAGCAGCCAAAGGAGGATACACCCGTAGAAGAATCCATGGAAGAAAATTCAGAAAACCATCCAAAGGCGGCAAAGGAAAAGGCCGCGGAAAAGGTAGAAGACCCGGCTTTGTCAGCCGTAGAGGCAAAGGTGCAGGGGCACATTATGCCGAGTACCCTGACAACTCAGGTTTCTATGGAAAAGGCAAGAAAGGAAAGAAAGGTGGAAAGAAAGGATTCAAAGGAAAAGATGCATTCAAAGGCAAAGGAAAAAGCAAGCAACAGAATCCCTTTCAACAATCCAATGTTGCAACCACTGAAGAGCCTTCATCAGCTCAACCAACTTCCAATGCCGAAGAAACCTGGAGTGCACATGAAGCAAATTGGTCATGGGACTCGTATGGTTACCACACAGACCAGTACTATCCTGAAGATGTCTGGCAGGCAAATGAAGCCACTTGGCAACAATGGACATACTTTGCGGACGGACAGACGGACAGACCGCAAGATGAAGAGCACCATAGCTCAGAGCCAAGGCCTGACCAGATGAACCAGTCAGCAGATTTCCGGTATTACGGAACACATGCAGAAGAAATGACCGGTGAAGAACATGTTTCACATCAGTATCACCTAAACCCTGCCGGTAGCAGCACGGACTACCGACATTCCGGTTGTTCTGAAGTGATTGATCCACGCTTCTGTTCTTCTTTTGTCAATTTTGACGATGGATTTCACCATGCTTTGCTTTCAGAATACATCGACTTGAGGTACAGTCCGACTTACGTGATCATTGACAGCGGCTGTACCAGAGCAATGGGCTCAAGGACCGCCATTATGCGTCTAGTGAAGGCATGTAAGAGACACTACAATGCATCCAAGATTGATTTCTCTTTTGAGCCTTCGTCAAGTCGATTCTCATTTGCAAATGGTGAACAATCCAATGTCCGAGAGAAGCTGGTAATCTACTTCCAGAACGACCAGTCACCCACAGGGTGGATCACAACAGCGATAGATATCTTAGACCAGGGCGATGTTCCGATCCTTTTTAGCGTTGAGCAGCTCAGGAACCTTCGCATGTCTATTGAGCATACTCCAGTCGGCGACTATTTGACTTGTCCTTTGTTCGGTCTGAAGCGATTTTCGCTGCCAGTGAGCACTTCGAACCATAATGTCCTAGACATCATGATGTTTGCCAGCTCAGTTCGTAAGCCGAACCACAGTTTCACTGCAATCAACCCTTCGTATGCAGCTTGTCCTGCCTGCAATGGAAAGCATCGTAAGCACACATATAAAGATGGATGCAAGAAGGCAGAGACATCCGAAGTGAAGGAAGACAAGTCAGCAGCCGATATTCCGGCTAAGAAGCCAGAGAAGCACATCGCAAGTGGAGATGCCAAGGTCGATCCGCCATCGAAGCTTATTTCGATGCCTCCACCGGCTAAGAAGGTGACACCTCCGTCCGACATACCGGAATACAGAAAAGTCACCTGATTTTGGTACGCCATTTGAGCATTCGAAGATTCCAAGTTCGAGCTCAGGAGCCGAGAATCCTGACGTACCTCCAGCAGAACCTGACATGCCGGTGAAGCCTGATCCTCAGGAAGAATCAAAGGAAGACGTAAAACCAATACCAACAACAGTTCATCGAGAGAAGAAAGCGCCCAAGGTTTCAGTAACATTGCCGTTAGCATTGCAGAGAATCCATGAGAAGCTGTCTCATCCAACTGAACTCTTGAAACTGCATCTGAAGCACTATCACATGTCAACTGAGCAGTTCAAGAAACGCACTTCAGCTTTGAAGATTCCTGCTAAGATCTATGAAGAGTACGAGAAGGTAGTTAAGCAGTGTGATACATGTCAGAAGTCGAAAATTGCACCTTCAAGATCACGAATTTCAGGTATGAGAAGTGAAACGTTTGGAGAACTCACCTTTGTTGATCATGGTGAATTAGCTATCAACGATAAGTCCAAACTTCTTTTCCTGATTATCTATGACGGTGCTACTTCTATGACCACTGCTTACGTTTGTAACGGCAAGACTGAAGCAGAAACGATTGGCCATCTTTTGGAGTATTTTGAGACATACCAGTTGAATCCTAAGTATCTTGTCGGTGATCAAGGTTTCATGGGTACTGAACTTGAATCCTTTTATAACAGAAAGAATATCCGACCGATTACTCTAGGACCTGGTACTCCATGGCCAAACAGAGCTGAAGCAGCTGTTCGCATGTACAAAAAGCAGATCACCCTGATGCTTAAGGCAGTGACTGAGGATCCATCCAGATACGAGATCACGTACCGTCAACTCCTCAGACAAGCATCACTTGCCAGGAACTCCATGGTTACTTTTGGTGGAGTATCTCCATTGGAGATGGCATTTGGAAGACGACCTGCAGATCTTTTGTACCCAGAGAACATGACACCTGAACAGCTTATACAGCTTCACTTCCTTCTCCCGAGAAAAACATAGATGCCCTCAGAACACTTGCCATGAAGTCTTATTTAGAAGCAAAACAATCAGACGATTTGAGACGAGACATTTCCGCAAGACTTCAACTGAGTGATGGTCCATTCTATCCTGGTGATAAGATCTACTATTGGACAGAAGATAAATCCAAGGTAAAGTCTGATGGAACCCATAGTGGAAAATGGATCAAGGGCAAGGTCATTAGTTCTGACGGCAGTATGGTTGGTATCGATTTAGGCACCAGAATTCTAAAGGTCAACATCAGCAAGGTCCACAAGGACATCAATCCGATCGAAGATGTTGAGGTGCCACTCGACCCGGTTGCACTACTGAGTTCTGAGAGTGCACGGACCGATATTCCGGTCACTGACCACGCAAGCTCTCTCGTCCAGAGCGACGGAGCCCAGATCGGTGTGGAAGGCTTCACATATTCCTCTTACGCATGGCAACCTGTCATGACTGGCAAGATTGATTTCTTAGAACTATTCGCAGGTTCAGCACGGTTGAGTCAAGTTGCTGCCATGAATGGTTTGCGTGTTGGACAAACTATTGACCTAAGAACAGGATTTGACATCTTGACCAGTGACGGTCGTAAGAGGACGATGGACATCATCGAGAAACAGAAGCCTAAAGTCATCTTTATGGCGCCGCACTGTGCTCCTTGGAGTCAGATGACCAATATCCATGATCGCGCAGCACGAGATCAGCGCAGACAGAAGTTTCTTCCAATGTTGGAGTTTTGTTGTCGTGTTGCCATATTCCAGATTGAACATG